TATGTGCAGAGAATTAAGTCCCAGAAATTTTGGATGGAGGGACATTCCCACCAAATATGCACCAGCGTACCCTGTGCAGCTCAGCAGCACCAACACTGATCCATCACAGAGCGGTAAAAGCGGTGCAAAAAGATATGATACCTATACCATCTGGTGAGAAGTTTATAGCTGTGTCCTGGGCTTTCCTAACCAGAGACAGATGGTGAGTGAAAATAAATATTTTTTCCCAGTCTTTAGGAAGGATCTGCACAATGTGAAGCACACTTGGAGGTGTAAGGCGAGAGGCCATGGTGCTTGTAAGCCAAGAGGATTTTATAAAAGGCAGAAAGGACATGTTCCGGGGGAGAGTCCTGTAAAAGAAGGCTTCCAAAGAAGTTAGCAACTTTTTATTTGGGTGCAAGTGTAGAAAGAAAGACAATTGTCTATATTCCATCCACTGGGCGATTGATGCCTGACTTGGGATCCCAAGAGGTGTAAAGGAGGGGAACACTCCTCTACGTAAGTGTGCCTGGATTTAGTTGAAATGAGAAATTTCATAAGATTCACTGTAGCATGTAGCATCATGCACATCAAGCCAACGCGTTTTGGGGGAATAGACCCCTCCTTCAGGGCTAACAAACAAAACAAAGGCTGGATAAAAGATACATATAGCAATATACCTGTATGTAAAATATAAGAATAAGCAAACATAATAAAAAAGTCATACAAAATTATAAATGCTATAAATATATACAATATAAATATATAAATAAAGCTGGTAACCACATTTGGCGAACTTAAAATTAGATATAGATCGAACCTGTACAGAAAAAAACACAATGTATGCAGAGTTCTACTCCTTCACTCACTCGCATTATACTCATGAATGTGTGTATACCTCTATAATCATTTGTGTTAACAACATCTGAATTACATTGTCATATACAGTACAAAGATAATTGGAAAATTAGAGTTACTGTTATTGGACATATAAAGAAGTGAGACGGTACTGAATAGAAACTAAACCTGTTGCTGCCTACTACTTAATGGGAACAATTCCCATGAATGGTTATGTTAAATCAAGGTTTCTGTGGGTAGACAAAAAGTCAGGGAAAGAAAGGGATCAAGAAAAAGGAAAACACACCATTTGGGTATCATAAATATTGATTTTAGTATTTTAGTTGGGAATAGGTTTGTGCAGGGTAGGTGATGAACTAGAAATGGCGCCAATAACACAAACGATAATAGACGTATATTCACATTTATGAGTATAATGCATATATACCCATGTTATCCCTTACAATCTTGCTTATATTTCAGTTCTAGATACATTGTTTTTTTTTCTGTACAGGTTTGATCTGTATCCAATTTTATATTCACAACTGTGGTTACCAACTCTTTTTATATATTATATTTTTTGTATAGTATTATTTATACTTTTTTATAACTTTTTTTTATGTTTTCTTATTCCTTTAATATATATATTGCTATATGTATCTTTTATTCTCCCTTTGTTTTGTTTGTAAACCCTGAAGAAGGGGGAGTCTATTCCTCCGAAATGTGTTGGCTTGATGTACAGTACATGTTGCTACTTTTTTAGTAAATGTCTATGAACCATTCCTTAGAAGTTACATTTCTCTGGACACTGGGCACTCCTTTCTTTTTATCCAAGTTTATATGCTGAAATAACCATAAGGTTGCACAGAAAAGGTAGCAGCCCAATCCAGTCAATCCAGTGTGGTCTCAAACACAAGCTAGATATGCCCCCAGATTTAGAAAGAGAGAGGGTTGTCCGGTGAAGTTGTGGCTTCTTTGGCCCCCAGATTAACTATGTAAAGGTCGTTTGCAAGGTTTTGAAAAAAGATTGGGGGAAGAAATGAGGAGGGGTTGGAACATATATTGGAACCTGGGAACAATATCCTTTTTCAGGATCTCAGTCCTGCCAAACCATGAGTAATGCTTATGGTTGTAAGTTTTAGGATCAGACAACGTGCATTGTAACAGAGGAATATACAGTAGTTCCGGGTATACAGCAGGTACAGGGACAGGTCTAAGGGAAGTTTTATACCAAAATATTGGACAGTGGATGGGCAGAGCTTACTGTTGGAATTCCTGTAAAACTGAGGGCATGGTCACATGAGGTTTGATGATATATAGCAGCAGGTCATCTGCATATAGGGAGAGTTTGACATCCTCTTCAACAAACTCTCATCCACTACTACCCCAACAAGAAAAGTCACACTTTCACCCTTGAAAGTAAATTACCATAAACCTTTTCTCAAAATACCTCCAATCCCAACACCCTATTTGCACAAAATATCCAGAAAAAAATGTATATAATTGTCCAATGTAAAATAAATCTTCACACGTTCAATAAAGTGTCCAGTTCAAATCTCCAATCCAGATCCAGAATACCTAAAAAAAATAAAACTGAATATAGTGTATTACCTTCATATATTTCACACTATTTACATTAGTGACACGTGTTTCATGAAAAAAAAATCAATCAATAATCCCGTGTGCACTCAACTATCGTGAGAGAAAAGAAAATTATTTTTTTATATATATAAATCAATATATATCTATAAATAGTAACAGATATTATTAACACTGAAACATAAATCCTCAAATAAATAATAAATCCACACAGCACTCTGTGAATTAAAGCACATCGAAAAGTGAGTATCAACACAACAAATAAAGTAAACACTCCGTGACACTTCACACTAGTGGGATTAAATGCTATTACCCTCTCAAGATCACAACAAGCAAATCAAGATGTGAATAGTGTTTAAATATCAACTTCAATTCCGCATCACAAGTGAGGTGAACATTCAGTGATGGGAGTTTGACATCCTGTTGCTCCAGTTCAATGCCAGAGACTGAAGGATTCTTGCACAGGGCTAAAGGTAGGTGCTCCATCAGAAGGACATACCAACTGAAACTTTTGATGAAACACTGCTAGTAGACATTGTAATTGGTTTCTGAACATTTTCTTTTTTTCAGACTGTTGCTGTAACTCTGATCTGTATCTGCTGAGTATTTATATTGTAGTACTTTGGCTGTAACTGGGCTCATAACCTGTTAAATAGCTGCCACAAGTATGACTCTTACCAGTCAGATGGTGTCAGACACGTGGCAAAATAACAATATATTAAACATGATACTACCTCCTAGTGGCAGGATTTCTATAAAACAGTACATGAGAACGATGGTTGTATCTATGTCTATATAATCAGCATGCTAACAGAAGGAATTTTTTATTGTAACTAATTCTGCCTCCAAACAAGAATGCATGCTCACACAAAGTGGCACCTGGTGTCTACAGTTGTGGAATTTTTTCTGTACACAAATTGCAGGCCAAAGAGATGTTTATCATATCGAATTATTTGAATCTGCATCTAGTCTATTGTGTGAGCTTTGCTATGTCAAGGCAGGGAAGTGATATATTATCAAATGCGTTCACAGAAACTACTGACTACTATATGTGGTGAGTTTTCAGGGACAGGCTGGATGGGTCAAGAGTGCTCTCACACTGCTAAAATCCACAGTCTTTTTTCTACCTTTAGGCTACCAGACCACAGACATGTTGGCAAGTTTGCAGACTTGACTTGGCTGCAAAGGCTGGTGAAATTTTTAAGAAAGTCCAAGATAAATAGGGTAATATAATGCATAAGAAGGAATTTAATTGATTTTCCAAAATTCAAAATAATGAAAAGTATTAAGAACAATAAATCCCCTGAAGTTATAGGAGTATTGCTCTTCTGGCTAGCTTTCATGTTGGGCTATAGGAGCCTATAGAGTAAGCTAAATTAGATTATTAGACTTAAACAAGTCTAAACAATCCAAACTCATGTAACAATGGGGGGAGGCATGGGTATAGTCTTTCTGTGAAAATACTGCTCCTTAAAAAAAGGCACATTTATAAAATACACTACTGTACCTTATAAATGTGCTCACAGCTTAGCTTGCTTCCAGACATGTATGAATGAGGGGAAAAAAGTTGTTCAAACATGGAGTGTTTCCTGAAGCACTATCACATCCTATATATGGTATGTATTTTTAAACTCTGTATTTGGATGATTACAAGGAGTTCAGATTTAAAGAATAACTGCAGTGTTGGTACAAGTTGAACTTTAAGGCTGAGCCAACTCATCATTGAGTGCAGTCCACCTGGCCTGACCACTCTACTCCCATTCCAATGATTTTCATGGTGTCACCCTACTCAGCGTTTTGCCCACTTCAGCTGCCTGAAGCGGACAAAAAGCAGGAAAAACAATTTTCTGTTATGTACTGCATATGCGTCCTGTGAAACTTCCTGAAACTGAAATTGAAACTGAAATGGCATTGTGGGAACTTGGAAGTCCTCATTACTATTTTAAAACCTCTGACTTTTCAGGGTCTATCTCCATTGGATATGTCTCTGGGCAGTTGGACACAGCTGCTCACCTTCTTTCTGTCTCTTTACTTGGCTTTTGGGAGCAGAGTGAGGGGTGTACTACGAGGTAGTAACATCACTTCCTTTACTGACATTGGAGTGAGGAGAAAGCTCTGCCTGCTGCTACTACAGAGATTTAATACACTCGTAGGCTAGCAGTCATGCGCCCATCACTTAAAAGTTGAAAAAAGCTATTTTTATAGAGTTTTTCCAACAAAACAAATGAATTGGTTAAGAAAGCAAGCTGATAGCAACTGTTTAGGACATTAGTAGCATGACGTCTTTCCAACTACTTTAACCAATAGCCTACAGGGCATTTATACCCCCTTCCTGCCCAGGCCAATTTCCAGCTTTCAGTGCTGTCACACTTTGAATGACAATTGAGTGGTCATGCAACACTGTACCAATATGAAATTTTTATCATTTTTTTGTGACAAATAGAGCTTTATTTTGGTGGTATTTAATCACCTCTGGGTTTTTTGTTTTTCTTAAACAAACCAAAAACCACTGAAAATTTTGGGAAAAAAAAGTTTTTTTCTTAGTTTTTTTATAAAATTTTGTAAATAAGTGATATTTCTCCTTCACTGATGTGCGCTAATGAGGCTGCAGTGATGGGCACTGATAGGCTGCACTGACGGACACTGATAGGTGGCACTGATGGGCACTGATGAGGAGGCACTACTGGTAGGTGGCACTGATGGGCATTGACAGGCATCACTGATGGGCACTGAAAGGCAGCACTCATATATGGCACTGATAGTTGGCACTGATAGGTGGCACTGACTGGCACTGTTAGGTGGCACTGACTGGGCACTGTTAGGTGGCACTGATAGGCAGCCCTTACGGGCACTGATAGGCGGCAATGATGCACACTGATAGCAGGCACTGGCTGGCACTGATAGGCGGCACTGACTGGCACTGATAGGTGGCACTGATTGGCAGCACTGATAGGTGGCACTGATTGGCATTGATAGGTGGCACTGACTGGCACTAATGGGTGACACTAAAAGGCAGCTCAGATGGGCATTGATATGTGGCATTGATGTGCACTGGTAGGCACTGATGTGTGGCATTGATGTGGCACTGGCAGGTGGCATGGATGAGCACTGAGAGCTGGCACTAATGGACACTGACAGGTGGCACTGCTGGGGCTACACTAATCATCAGGGCACACTGATCATCAGTGTACATGTCCCCTCCGAGGAATGCCGATTACCGGCTCTCCTCTCGAGCTGTCAGCGTGACTGCTCGAGAGGAGAGAAATGCCGATAACCAGCATTTCCCTATTGACATGTGATCAGCTGTGATTGGACACAGCTGATCACATGACCAAGCTGACATCTTCGGCTCTTTCCGTGGATCGGTGAATCCCTGCATCCGAGGGAAACAGCGCACCGCCGATCGCCGTGCTGTACGCTTCCTGAGCCGCGTATGCGCGGTGAAAATTGGAGGACGTCATATGACGTCCTCCCAGAATGAGAGAACCACCTTGCTCCTGTCATTGGACTATTTAACGAGCGGGAGGCGGTTAAACAACACTGAACAAAAAAGAATAAAAACAAACCATAAAGTCCAGTTTATACAGGCTATACAATCAGGTCTGCTTGTCAGTCTTTCAGCTTTTTTGGAAACTCCATGTTAGCCTATTAGCAGGTGGATATACACAGATGTGCATCAAATTACATCCCCTTACCTCCAAGTCTGTTCAGGTCCAGAAAACTAAAATGAAAAAGGTATGCATCCTTTTCCATTTCTCTGGACCTAAATAGGTAGCCTGAAGAAAAGAGGTGCAAGTCCCTTTCATCCGTCCACCCATAGATCCAACATGGTCCTAAAAGTTCCAGATTTAAAATGCACAAAAAAACTGAATGAGCACAGATGTCATAAAAGTGACACCTGTCTGGTTCTGCTCTGATTCAGCAAGAAATATATGTTCATGCATTGGACCTGATGGTACCCCTGTGAAAGGATGATTGCTTTTAAAGAATAAGTTTACTTTTAGGAGCATGTTACATGTTACACACATATTTAGGGTGTAACATGCTTCTATGCACCCGTCTACTTTCTGTGACAGCGGGTGGCAGGCGCGGACTGACCATTTGGAAACTCGGGCACTGCCCAAGGGCCCGGGGACAGTAGGGGGCCCCATGAGATGTCCCTGGTACCTTTTTCATAGGCTTTTTTGAGTTTGGGCAAGGACACAGGGGCCCCATGAGTTGTCAGTCCGCCCCTGGCGGGGGGGGGGGATTTTTCTCCCGTCCCGTCCACCACTGCAGATGAACTTGTAGTATTAATGAATTGTGAGCATGCTGGTTAGTTCTTAGTTCATTTACACTGCCTACAGCTCAGTGGCTCTAGGCAGTGTGTGCAGGAGTCTGGCACTGCACCTGCTATCCACTGATAGTGGGTGTAATGCTCTGCAGGCTCCAGTGAAAAAAATAATAAATGCACATTTTTTTTCTTTGAACTTAGTCTTTAAATATCTCTTGAACTCAGGCCTTTAATTGCAAAGGGACTCTTTCAACATCCATTTAGACCTAAATGATTTAGCCAGTCACATGACAGAAAGATAAAAAAAACTACAGAGCCCTGTTTCTTTATAGCAGGACCATTAAACAACTGCAATAGTATTTCACTGTACACTGTTCTGTTAGCCCTATATGGCCTTCCAGGGTTTTAAATAACTCTTCCCATTTATTAGTGTCTTCTGCAGTGCTACCGATGTCTAGCATCAGGTAGTATTGCTTTTTAAAGTGGTATTTCAAATAACTGTTCTTTCAGTACTACTGTTCACGTGAATTCTGGAAACAACATAGACAATGTATTCCTTCTTTCTCCCTACTTCAGTAATAAGAAATCATGTTGAAGGTTTGTTTCTTTGTCATGAAAATGTAATTCTCGAGGTGAACTGCTAATACGATGTGACAGAGGAGATGCTAACCTTCCATTAAGGTCCTGCTGACTCTCATCCATAATGCTGCAAACATGATTGGGCCATTATTTTTATTGACGTCCAGATAACCCTTTAGGCCTGGATGCTCTGCACTGCATTCTGGGAGAACAGAGCAAAAGGGAACATGATATTGTATGTATGTGTATGTGAATTCAAAGTAAATAGCCAAAATAAAATTTAGCAATAAGCTAATGTGTTGCATTTCTTTGCCAAAATATCACAGGTATGCCAATGAAGCACACTATCTTGCCAATGAAATGTACCAATCACCAGTCATTTTTACATACTTTCTTGAAATGTAGCAATAAAAGTAGAAACGGAGCCCTTTAGACTGCCTGAGTAATAATACGTTATTGTTTTGCTTCCTGAATAGTTATTTGTGTGTCCAGTGTAGTCTTGTGATTTTAATTGTTATCACCTATAACCTAAAGTTAAATATATTTTCAACAGTAGCTGGAGTATATTTTGTTGTTGTATTATACATAAAGTAGGGATATTAAAACTTTTAAAGTGGGGACCCAATAAAGAAATTTGTTACAATACTGGGACTCAAGAAGAGGATTATCAACAAAATGTCAGCAAAGCCATACGATGACAAATGACAATGATCACATAATAAATAAAATTATATCCATTCAAGTGTAATTCTCAATATTTTCACATTTATAAAACAGCTTGATCCAGCTTGAACCAATGTAAACAATTAGACTGTAGCTGATAACTGTTATGAAACTTCTTCCTTTGTTGCTGCTGTATTATCCTTCTGTAGTGTGGACAGGGTTAAACTGAATACTAATTAATGTGTTTATAAAGCTTAAACATTTTTAGCTTAATGCATTCCTTGAAATAAGTAAAACAAAAAGTTTAGGCGTCAGTATCCCCCCTCACACTCCCTTTTACTTCCCTGAGCCCTTATTCGATCCAAAGCTGTGCCCATGTGCAACTCTTCTATCCCTTCAATTCCTCACTGGCTTTGCTGGGGAAGCAGGAGCCAGCAGCTTTCTGGGGGTGCACTCAGCAGAGGGGAGGAGCCAGGGGCACCGGTAGGGGACCCAAGAAGAGGAGGTTTGGGTCCACTCTGTGCAATTCCATTGCACACAGTGACTAAGTATAAACCTGTTTGCTCTTTTTAGAAAAAAAAAAAAAGCTTTTACAATCACTTTCATGCAAACGTGCATCAGCCATCTTTAAGGAGGCCACTTTGCAATGCCCATCTATGGCATGTCTCCAGTGCTGGGATAAACCATCTTGGCTGGGTCTGGATCAATCTTGTAGTTTGAGAGGAAGGAGGAGTGGGTAAAAAACTGCTGGCTTAATGGGATCTTGCCATAGCTGACCATAATCAAATGAGACCTCAGAGAAGCAAAGAGACTGCTCATTGAGCAGTACCTTTCCTCAGACACCAGCTGGAGTACCCAGAGGAAACCCATGAAGGCACAAGGAGAACATGGAAACTCCAGGCAGGTGGTGTCATGGTTGGGATTTGATCCAACAACCCTAGTACTGCCAGGCGGAAGTGCTAACCATTTAGCCACTGTGCTGTCCACAGTGGGTGATGTTGATCAAGAAATGCTAGGATTATTTATGTTTAGTTCTTGGTCTCCGGGAATATGGTGGTGGATTGTTTTGGCTCTGGCTCGTCTTTGGGCAGACATATGTGTTCGCTGGTTGCTCCACCCTTTTTGGATGGGAGTAATGGTGCTCAGTGGCAGACACCTTCCTTGGATAACCTCCTGGGTGTAACTGCCTGTGGGGTTTGTATTGGTCAGTGTCTTTAATTCTTGCTGTTCACTGTGTTCTACTGCGATGGGCGCCATCTTGCACATGTGCAGTAGCAGACATACACTGCGTCATGACGTCAGCATGCCAATGCCTCCTTGTGACACGCTTGCTCGACTGATTGGTGTGGTGGGAATATATAAGGGAGCCCCAGGTTGAGGCAAAGTCCTTTTGGTGTGGAAACATTGCAGCTGCTCTTTCAGGGATAGCGCTATATACAGTATGCATATGCCATACCTGGCTGTTCCCCCGGAAGATGGAAATCACTAAAATATACTCTAGATCTCCACCTGCTTCCAGGACCCGTGGTAAGCCCCTGCTCTGCTGCATTCTGAACACAGTAGGTTGGCTGCTCGGCATGGAGGTCTGGCGGCTGAACAAAATAATTCTAAGATTCCTCCACTCACACTCAGGCTGGAAAGAGATAGATTGAAATTCAACCTGTTCAGCAGGGACTGGCTAAATTTCAGTCTGTGTCCCTCCCTTTTAAACAGAATTTAATTATTAGATTGATGTCTGTCAAATGGACACACTGGAAAACCTTTGTCGATCAGCATCTGCAGCCAATTAATTGCAGTCGCTGATCAGTGTATTTTGACAGTGGCGTTAGCCACTGTCAGAATACAATATCCCAATGTGGGGGGGAAGGGTGATTTCAACAGCTACCTCGTTTATGTGAATGGAGAAATCTATTATTATTTTTGTTCAATTTGCTGACTGAATGAAAAAAAACTATAAATGTCTATGCCCAGCTTAACAGGATGGATAAATCTCCTGCTGCAGGCTACTGTAATCTTACAGCCAGTGCCACTGGCTGTCAGAATACCTTAGCAGCAACTGCATCTGATGGGATGCAAGGCACTGTTCGGCAGACAATTTTCCACACAACTCTTTCAACAAAAAAATTTACTTATGTCATTCTGAGTATTGCCAACTGGTTCACCCATGAAACAAATATCCCTGCATGCAATCCAGTTCCTTTTATGTGTCTGTGTTCTATATCACTTATCACTGGTTCATTGATTTTATGCTTGGATAAACTAGGCTATATAGCCAAGTGGTGACCCATCACAAACATGTCCCTTTCTAAGTTTAGGTCCTGCCTCATAGTTTATTTTGGATAGAGTAAAGGAGGGTTACAACCCCTGTCAGTATTTTTAACATCTAACATCTGTGTCTATAGGGGAGATTTCCTTTCACTTTCTGACCCATAGCCAAAACAGGAAGTGGGAGGAAATACCTCCAAAGTGAGGGAATGCTGGGTGTAACCAAGGTCAGCAGAACTATTATCCCCACTGGAAGATACCCCCTCTATGAAAATGATTAAACATACAGCTAATGGTACCTTAGCAAGGTCAGTAAGTTGTAAAATGTTTTAAATAAAAAAACAGAGAATGTGGTCTACCCACTATAACTGACAAAAAGGGAAAGTAATTTATTTATCATGTTCTACT